TCCTGGGCAGGTTCAGAGTTTTTTTTGGCAGATATGCACATTAGGGCGTGCCAAATATTGGTGGGTACAGATCCCTAGCCAATTCTACAGAGAGGTATGTCAATGCTTTTGCACCACTTCTGATGGGGACCTCCCTTCAACGCGTGTGTGTGTGTGTGTCGTGTGTGTGTGTGTGTGTCTGCCGTCCTATAGTGTTGCGGCTTATGTGTGTAAATCAGAGATGGGCATAGAATTAGATATACAGTATTTAAGAGGACCGGCTGGTCATCGATCACTCCACAACAGGCAGAAAATCAGCCAATTCTTTTTTTTTAAAGATTTATTTTGGGCGGGGAGAGACATGTGGAAAGGGGCCACGGGTGGAGGTGAACCTGGGCCTACCGCTCGAGATGAGAGGCTCAACACATGGGACGTGCGCCCTAACCATTGCGCCACCAGCGCGCCCCAAAAATAACCAATTCTGATCAAAAGCTGGTTGATAGATGCATCTCTAAAAAAAAAAAACAGCAAAGAAAAATGTATTTAACTTGTTGCTTAGCTTTAAAAATAAAAAGGTTTTTGTGTCTGGCCAACTGTGTTTATGCATTTGACCTGCTGTTTGAATTTAACAAAAAACATGATTAGTATCAATGGTAATAACTTTCAGCAAGCTAGTGCGATAGAATGACACAGTGTGAACTAATACGTACCATATTAGTACGTTATCAAAGTCAAAAGGTCAATACCATGGCTTATTTACTAGCTGGTTTATGAGCGACTTACCGCCATATGTTTCACAGCGCTGATGCTTTATGTGCAAGTTGCTGACCACAGATGTTCATTTATCAAACCATATAAGCAATGAGAGCTTGTGGAGTGTAGCTTGCCTGACTTGGGTTGACAGAGTGGAGAGTGGAGGGTGACCACTGTGTACCACAGTACTTATAATAACCGGCCTTCTCGTCAGAACAATCCACTGTCATCTCTCAGGGAAAAAGCCAACATCAATTCTGACTCCTATGCACTGGCCAACAAATAAATATGTATGAATGTTAACAGCAGACTATCAGGTCTAGGTATGGTGAGAGCAGTATACCTGCTGCGCTGTGCAAAAATGTCTTCACAATGTATGCCGAACAAACTCCCTTCTGTCTTTATTATTCAATAACAGTTCTCATTAAAATACATGAGCGCCTTGACAACAAACAGAGTAAAGGACGCTGAATGGCAGTTAGGTAACTGATTTTGATTTTTTTAAAGGGAAAGAAAAACAGACAAAGAGATGAAAAGAGTTGCAGAGGAAGGGTGGTCAAGAATAGAGAGAGAGAGAGAGAGAGGGAAAGAAAAAGCAAGAGTCTAGCCTGAGGAGCGGGGGGAGTCTCAGCCATTACATCACTGCTGCAGTGGCTGACAACATTACCATAAGTAACACTCTTTCTCTCTCAAGGTCTGTCTCTCAAATACACAAGGTCCTGATTGCATCCAATAAAAAAGACTCTTTCCCTTATTGTAATCAATAAACTGAAACACATCAACTAATGCTTAAATTGTAACATCCACGCCACCACATAGAAAATGGTTTACAACTTTTTAGTACCTCATACATGAAAAAATATGTGATTATTATCTTGTACTAAATACTGTCTTAGTATAATATATACTCTTTGTCCTCATAGGAACAAAGAAGGTGAGAGAATTTGGGCTCAATATTTTAGGCCTCTCCTATTTCACTATTTCTTACTAACATACTTAATGCATTCCAGAACATATGCTTAAATTTACACAAAATTAGAATGATCAATTAGAAAGTCCCATTCAGGTTTCTTATTTTGCAGAAACCACATCAGTTTATTAAAGTTATTTTCAGTACAAGAGGACTGTTCTTTATTTTTTAGAAAAATGCTGAGATAATTAATTCAGTCTTCACAAGGTTATGTTGAATTGCAATGAGGAAAGCTGAGTGCAGGTAGCTGCATGTGGTTTCATCCAATTTGAATGACAGGCCTGCATTCAGTTGTATTTCCATGCTTAACGCACGTTATGGCCATTTGCTTGCACATTAAACCATGTCATGCCAACTTGAAGTTGCATTGCACTAAGTCTCACTGTTACTGTTTCGTTCTTACAAAGAAATGTATTCAGATGTATTTGGACAAATATAAAGGCACAAATATAAGCGGCATTCAGTTTACAGACAGATTGTGGTAAGGGTTGAGGTTGAGTGTTCAGGTCACCTTGTTAACCTAACCGTCCACCCCAACTGGAGGGAGTGTCATTTGTAATGAGTAATATGGTACTAAGTGAAGGGAAATGTAAGTGGCTTAGGAACATCTACCTATGGTTAGGCTCACGGTGAGATGGAGAGATGAAAAGGTCAAACAGACCTGCTGGGAAATGCCACAAACTCATGAAAACAGCAGGAGTGGACAGTCGAGGTGAAGGATTACATGTTTTTATATCAGATCCTATCATTGTATGTGATTGTACATGTTGTTGTTAAAAACTGACAAACCGTGCTATGCACATCCACGACAAATGTCAGTGTGTGTGTAGGTGTGTGTGTGTGTGTGTTTGTATGATATAAAGGGAGGGTGTAAGGGCACATAACTAAACAAAGAAGCTCAATGATCAATACTGGATATAGAGTTAACATATTTGAGAAGGATGAAGGAAATGCTGCTGAATACTGTCACCTAAAGTCGGTTAAGGACATCTAGAGTCAACTTCATTTGAGTGAAGTGTCATTGATATTCTGTCAGTGTTGAGATCGTCTTTTGGATTAAATAATGTCTCTACATTGACAGTACTTGCTGGTGGGGGATCGTGGGCTCCCTGATCAGGATATATAATTTCCCATTCTTTGATGATGAAACACTAATGTAATAAACTCTTGTCCGGTTTATTACGTTGGTTTTCATCAACTGATTTACATTTTGTTTTAAACTCCTTTAAGGTCGTCATGCTGAAAGTAGTCATTCATGATTTATACAGTAAGGGGGCAGAAATTTTACCAAACTAACCAACAGGAATACATCAAGCAACAACGCTAACAGCTAGCTTGCACTAGCTCATATTCTGGGTTGTTTTTATACAAGCCAAAACTATTTTGGATGATTGTTCCAGGTAACCACAGGTTGCAAATAGTGGTGGGCGATATGGAAAAAATATAATATAATGATTTTCTATGGCAGGATAATGATCACGATTTTATGGCAATTATTTTTTTCATACTGATCTTTAAGACTAATTTACAAGTTGATGACCAGTTCAACCATACTTATTTCCTGTATAATAATATCTTAAATGCAAAACAACTGTGCTGATAAGTTTAGGCTATCTTAATAACGTTTTTGTCTTCAGCCACAACCTGTCGGTCAATACATAGATACTTGCCAATAGGTGGCACCAAAGGGGGGAGGGAGAATGTTTGGAGGTCTGCCACAGAACACTTTTAGCCCCAAAAATATCTTTCCTGCATTCTGATCACTTTGCACACGTTTTCTGCACCACTTTAACATTATTATTCAGTATTTTGTCTTTTTTGTGTCTTTAAATCTATTTTAGTGTTACTCAGATACATACACACAGTGATGCATATATTTGGAAACATGTAGACTTCAAACATAATCCAGAATGTGTTTGTTCTGTGACCCATGGTCAAAGTAAGTTTTACTGAAATTCATAGAGGGGGCGGGACAACCTTGATTGACAGACAGACATTCACCATGGCAACTCACTCTCACCTGCCTGCTACACACTGAATGAGAGGAGAAAAGAGCTGCTGACTAACATCCCTTTAAGCAGCATACATTTAAATCAGTGCTAAAAATAAATGATTGTACAAAATATTTTTTTAATAAACGAGGTCTGGATATGATCTTCCATCACTGGCTATTTGTCTGAGCTCCACTCTGTCTCTCAGCAGACTGTTTAGGATAATGTCTTTTTGGTTTGTTAAAGGTTTGTTGTTTTGCCACCCAAAGTTCAAACCTCAACTGTGCAAACTCTGCAAATAACTGTTTCATGCATCCTATCCGTTTGGAAAAATCTCAAACAGTTCCATATAACCGGGACGGAGAACTTTTTACAGGGAATTTTGCCAGGAAAATTAGAAATCATCTTAGCAAGTTGCATTGGGTAAACTTAAAGGTTTTCAAAGGGTGTAGACTGAAGCATTGCAAGTAGTTGCAGTCACTAGTTTCAAGTTCTTTTGTTGCCAATCTTTGGTTTGACCTGTCCTTAGATATTTAAGCTCACTAGAAAGATGTCTGGCTTGCCATCTTTTCCATGACTGAATACTTGTGAATCCCGTTGTAGCCCTTTTACTGAACAGATACTTTTGAAATATGTTGGGGGGGGTTACATATTACACTGACATCATGTTTATGTTTGTTGCAATTCAGTCCGTCTTTCTCTGGAGAATGTGCCACACATTCAGTGCCTCTTTCCTTGAATTTGTCTCTTCCAATGGCCAAAATGTGACCAGATCTGACACCAGAAATGAATTTGGACAAACAGAGTAAAACTCCAGTGTCTCAATTAGAGGGATAATGTGCCTTTTTACTCTGCACCTGAGCCATGTGAAAGTGAAACTGTCAAATGACTGTTGGAGAGTGTCTAGACATACACAGAAACACACACACACACACACACACACACACACACACACACACACACACACACACACACACACACACACACACACACACACACACACACACACACACACACACACACACACACACAGACCACTATAATTGGCTGATGTTTTCACACAGATTCACATTCCCCAGCATGAAAGAAAAACAGAGATAAACAGGCAGACATTCAGGACCGCAGAGAAATGCATCTGTTATTTCTGCTACAGTAAAATTACAACAGTGTCTGTATGAATCCAATACAGTGACGCAGCATCTTTGCAGCATCACCCAAAGGCATATGCAGTGAGAAGAGAGAGGGAGGGAGAGACACAGGATGAAGTGGCAAAACAAAGAGAGTGGGGGAGATATTGAGAAACTCACCTGGCTAGATGGGATGTTGACCACGGCTCAGAGGGAAGGATAACATCCGAGACCTGAAAGGGTGAGAGATGGAGAGAGGATAAGGGAAAGGAACAGTTTTGAGGGAGAGAGAAAGGGAAAGAGAGAGATTAGATTTGACTGCTGGTACTTTGGGAGTGCAGTGGCAGGTGGCACTGTGTTTAGTGCACACACAAAAACACTTGTCAGTGTATCTTATGGACAGATGGAAGGGGAAGGGGTTGAGGTGGAGTTAAGAGTATTGAGAAGACAGTCGGACAGTCTGGCTGATAGCACTTTCCAATCAGTTGTGGATCTAAAGGAAGCCCTGTGTTATCACCCTGCTGAGAATAGCAGAGTACACATGAGAGGCTGAGAGAAAGTGACAGCAAGAAAGGGAGCCCTTATCAGAGGGTGTGCTTGTGTACGTGTGTGAGTGTGTGCTTGTTAATGCCGCATGTGAAGCATTCCTTCGACAGCAACCACAAAGAGTGAGATGTAGCTCCCCTTCTCTTCTCACACACACACACACACACACACACACACACACACACACACACACACACACAGACGACAGGGTAAACAACACCATGCATCTCCATTTCAACAATACACAGAAGAGCAGATACACACTAATTAACTTCAATCCAGTAGCCGCAGTGTGATCATACAGATACACTGAGACACCACAGAGGGCAACAAGTTCATTATCAGTGTGGATGGCCCTGAACTTCTATGAGACTACTTAAAGCATTGCTGTCAACATGCTTAGCAGCAAACATTTCCAATGCTACACATATTCAATTTGGACTGTGTTTTTTTTTTTTTTAAGACCACTAACTCACTATCTAATTATAGTAGGCATTACAAGTGTCCATGCAGGAGCTACCATGCCTCTCTAACCTGCTTCATAATTCAAATGCTGCACAAGAGAATTATTGGATGCTGGCAACAGGTTGATACATATGTGTGCTTATACAATAAAATCAGCAGTTCTCATCTGTGGATGAATATGAATAAGTAATTCAATATCAGGTTGGTTATATAGGTAACCACTATCACATGAAAGGGGAGGATCTTTCTAGATCAAAATCCTCTAAACGCTCTATTCATAAAAAATAATATTTGTGTTTTCTTTGCAGTGACTGCACATTGACCCTAATGGCTGAATGTGTTCAGCACGGAGTCTGTTTGCTCCTGCAGTGACTCCAAAGGAGAAGCCTCTGCTGTTTGCACAAAGTGCATACCTGCACAATTAGAACAAACTCATGTAGGATTTCACATTGGTGAACAAGTTGACCTTAAAAATATCAAGTTTCTTAAAAGCTACTATCCAAAACCTTTACGCATAAGCTTTCTAAATAAAAAAAATCTGACTCTTCATTCCACATTTGATATTTTCTCCTAATAGTATTTATTTAGTCTTTTGCGCAATAGTTCTCAATGCTGATATACATTGTGTTGCATCATGGTGTGAAGGTGATTATCTACAGGGCTGATCGTCAGGTATGTGTGTAGTTTTCTGCAAAGACCCTTTATTCACAACTACAACTTTTGGTTGAATATAAACAAGAGGCTGCACTTTTTCTCCTTTCTGCTGCGAACGCTCTCTACTCATTGAAAAGAATAGAAAAAAGACGCTGACAGGAAAAAAAAAAAAACCTAGGTGGACATCGGCCCTAAGTCTTCAAACTAGACTTCCTGCTTTCTTTCTACTTGTACCATTAGCAGAATGCTAACACGACCTCCATCCCTTGGGTTTTATTTTATACCGTTGTTAGTACGTATTTTCAGGGATTCATTCATCTTGATAAATTTGTGGACATATCTTTAAATTGTGTCAACCATCTGACAGTAATTCTACTTTTGGGTCTGTGAAGCTGTAACCTTATATGGGTGAAGAACCTAAGTAGTAGCAGATCTATGTTTGGATAGGAGCCAACTATATGTTGTCAGCAACTGTTTGCTAGACAGAGAGTCTACATCTGATACGCACACAAATCAGTGTCATGTCATCTTTATTGTTTTATAGTGATGTACCCAAATGGAAAGGAATTTGTGGGCTGTACCTTCTAGCAGACTATAAGCCACACTGTGTGATGAAGACTTTGCCATTTTGCCATTTTGCCATTTTGCCCATGATGGCCACTTTCCAATGATTGTCAATGATTGTGAGATCTTGGTCAGCATGGGTCAGCGATGGTCTGCACTTTGTCATGTGTGTTGTGTTTCTGTGTTGTCTGACCATGGCTGAATAAATCTAAGATGATCCACAGTCTGTTTCACGATCTCATAATTGTCCATCTCATACAGAAATAACCCCCACCTAACAACCGTACTATATCATCGGACATTAAGGAAATGTGTTGAAGTGCTGACTTCTCGGACAACAATGCAGCAGCTGTATGTCCTCCTCCTAAGTTTTGATCCTGGTGCGGCATGGTCTGTTTAGAACAGAGAAGTGAACCTTCGCCTATTGATTTGCCGGGCAAACACCAAACCAACAGGTGTTGCAGCAATGAAAGCAGCAAGCAAACTGGTTCAGATGGAACTGATTCTACCCGACCATAAATGCTTTAGCATTTTTCTAATAAGCTCCATGACCAGAAACGTAAAACTAGGATAAATATATAAATATTGGAGATGCTTTGAGAGAAGTTAGAACTCAGAAATATTTTAAGACCTATTCAGAGCTGGTCAAATACAGAAGCTTCCTTGTCCGTGACATTGCAAGCTGTGTGCACATCGACTCTAAGGAGGAGGGGACAGGGGGAAACAGTGCTCTCCATGTTTTGAATTTGGACTGCAGTACCTATTTCAAACGCTAGGTGTCAGGGTTACATATTGCTCCTTTAAAATGTACTTGCAAGATTATGCTGAATCATTACCCCCTGTTGTGAAAGGACAATGGATAAGATAAATATATACATGAAAGCTAGTGGGGGAGCACAAAAACAAAAAATATGCTTTAGATCACCAGCAGGGCATAAATGATGTCAAGCTGTTACACAGCAGGCAACAGCAGGGACAGTTTTTACATCAAAATCTCTTCTGTCAAATGGACACAGGATGGAAAACATAGACACATGAAAAGATGGAGGCACTGGAGAAGAAAATATTGAAGAAGGATTGTTACTCTTTTTCCAAATAGCCTCCAAACTTAATGTGATTCAATCAATAAATTGTGATTAACGAAGAAGTTCTTCACACAGAAATGATCTTGTTTTTTTAAATCATGTATAAGTGGGGAATGTAACTGATGGATGACTAAGGGAGAATATTAGTTATGTGCAGTCCTAATTTCTTCAATCATCACAATCAAAAGAGATGCATGACATGGTATGTTAATGATGGCCGCTCTTTGTAATGCAGACAACAGTCAACCAGTAAGTCGGCCTGCCACTCAGCAAATCATCATTCAGCGTCTGTGCTTTTTTCACAGCTTCATCAGACTGATGCCACTCCGTATCTGATCAAACTGAAGACAACTCTAGAGGAGTACAACAGTTCCTTAGGCTTTGCATCATTATCGCAGTGTCTGTCTTCATTTACATCATAATCTCAAAAGTCTCAAATTCAGTCATTTGTTGCCCTTCATGTGACGCCTTTCCAACAAGTTGAAAGAATTCATGCCAGAAATTGTCTTCTTTCAAAAGGCTAAGTTTGCAAAACAAAAAAATGCACAAACAAGGTTTTTGTATTAAAGGCCTGTGGTATACTGCAATTCAGCACTACAAGTAAGAACACAGCACCTCAGAACTGCTTAGGTAGCATCCAATAAAAACAGTTAGTACACATGTGTTTACTAATGTGTTTGCCCTTGCAGTTCCAAACTGATTGATGGGAACTAAGACCTAATTAGAGATATCAGCAGGAAGCCCTTTTAAGCCTTCTGCCTTGGCCTGATGTTACCAACAATAGAGATTCTTAATCTGATCAAATGGTGTTTGACTAAGAAGCTGGACTCACATGACATGGTTTACATGGCAAATACCCAGTTCACTATGCCATGGAATGGCCTCAGCTGTTTATAAAGTTTCATCAGGTTTGTGTTGAATAGATACAACTACATAGGAGACAAAGGGAAATGTAACTTCTTCAAGTAAAGCAGGAACAGTTATTGACACTAATACACATTTAAATGTCCTTTTTTTTTAAACAAGACATTACTTCAAATTAATGGATGTAAGGAAAGACCACATAACTCAACTTCAAACATGAACAGTTGTGCATTCCAATGCAGAGTAAAGGCTAATAGGGATCAATAATGGCAAGGCTTACAGTCACACACATTCCCTGAAAAATAAACATCCCTAACACTAAAGTACTGTTTACCTGCTGAAAGAAAAATTTGATGAGTCTGATGAAGTATTTCTCGACTTAGAAGAACAAGCAGACTATTAAGACCATGTTAAGTCATTGAAGTAAGCACCTAGAATGTAACTATCATGTGCCAAGATCAGATTTAGGCAAGATGATCAAAAAAAGGATGAAAAAGTACAGACATTAAAACACTTGATCCAGTTTATGTTTGAGTCTGCAAAATCTCTGAAATGTGATTCAAAAATAATAAAACTGACGATCACTGGAGGATGTCAACATATGAGATGAAGGGCACTAACACCAGATCTTTTTCATAATGGGGAAAAGGAACAGCCATACAGACAAAAAACATGTTGATATTAATAACACAATTACATTAAAAAAGTATTGTTTACATTGTCTACATTGTAGTTTTCACTTTGCTCAAATGACATTAGTATGTTGTATAACTGCATACTGCACTGTATTGTATCTGCATAAAACCTCTCAATGGTCCTAGCATTGTTATGATGATAAAACCTCAAAGTGACTAGATTCTTACTAGGAACCAACAGAATGTGTTCAGGTAAAACCCTGTGTTTTAGTAACCAGATGACAGATGAAAGAGGAAAACAGAAAAGACTATGCCTTCCCAGAAAAGAAGCAAAAGCTCATTATGTCAACAGGATATACACACCATCAGGCAGCATGGCAAACAAAGCAGGCAAGTAATTGGGGTTTGCAAAAGGCCATG